TGGAGAATACTTGCAAAATATATTGGAACATGGAGAAAAAGTAGGTTTTTCAAGCTTAGTAATAAGTTTCTCTGCATGTGAGACAGCTGCCCTTTCCTTGCCGGTAAGATACTCCTTTATCAGAATGTCAGCTCAATTCTAAGGAGAGCTACTTTCGTGCTGTCCAGTAGTGATGGTGGCAGAGTATGGTAACTTCATGTGCTCTGTGCCTTGGTTAACAACAAGATGTTTTGCATTGGATTAACTGACAGTAAAACGGACAAGCATTTGTATTGATCTCATTTTCTCCTCCCTTGCCAGCCCAGTCAGTCATGCTGGGAGGAAAAAAACCTGGTTCTCAAAGCTTACCCCTTTCCTTGGACTATTACCTACAGTTTTAACATGACGGTCACAATCTTCCCTTTGTGGTTTCAAGTGCAGACTTTTACGCCTGGTCTACACACAGCTAATAAGGAGCAAGCTATACCAGGAGCCACACTTGTACACTGGTATAACTGCGTCCCCACCAGGAAGCCTGGGTTACTTTAACTGCACTGGCATAGTAAAAATGTTGCATTTTTTGTGTAGACCGTGTCTGGGTGTTTGTGGACTATGAGAGAAATGTTGACAATGTTCTGTGACTATGTGGGGGTGTCAGATAGAAGTTGGAAGTGCGTCTCCTGTAGCGGGGCGTCACCTAGAGCAGCGGTTCTCAAACTGTGGGTCAGGACCCCATTTTTTAATGAGGTCACCAGGCTGGTGTTAGACTTGCTTAGGCCCGGGACTGAAGCCAAAGCCCGAAGGCTTCAGCCCTTGGTGGTGGGGCTCAGGTTTCAGCTTCAGCCCCACCATCCAGGGGCTGAAGCCCTCAGGCTTCGGCTTCCCACCTCCCGGGGCGGCGGGGCTCAGGCTTGGGCTCAAGTTTCGGTCCCCCTTCTTGGGGTCATGTAGTAATTTTTGTTGTCAGAAGGGGGTCACAGTGCAATGATGTTGGAGAACTGCTGACTAGAGCATCTAGCTTCAGCGTGTAGGGGATGAGCCTGTAACAAGCGATGATAACGAAGAGTTGCAACAGGGCGGCATAAATCTGATTGCTGTGTAGTTGCTTAGAGATGGGAAGTGGAAATGGTCCCTCCATATAAGAGAGCCTTCAATGCTTTAAAGTGGTGTTCTGTCTGTATCCACAGTTTTTTGTTTCTTGAGTTCTCTGTGAACGTTCTCAGTCATTCAGGCAGGGACCCATGATGCTATGATGCTTCTTCGAGTCCCTCCTGGAGCTGGCTAACCCTGCTCTGACCAGAGGGGAGCAGCAGAGAGCAGTGTATAGTGGCCTTGCATTTGCTGAACAAAGGAGTCATATTTTTGAAATCTCTAGCCTTAAAATGTCATTATCAAAGTAATTACATTTCTAAATTACCTAGACTTAGAAGTGCAAGTACCATGCAGGCTCTCACCAAGGGTGATGTACTGGAATTTGTTGCCCTTAAGATAACATTATGTTAAATTTTCATTAACTCCTCACTGCAGCTGCTACTCCGCTTTCAGCACTGTGGCTATGGGTCAGTTGCTGTGTATTGTATATAAATCACCTATTCACTGGGGACAGTTACAATTATTGCATATTTATGGGCAAAATGCATTAGGGAAGCTGGAACCCAGAACAGGTAGCTTATATTTTCACACTGCCTTTCATCTCGAGGAATCCCAAAGGGCTTTAGAGACTGTCACACAAAGCGGCACCCCTGAGACGGGATGGTGGAAACCAGCGGGGGCGTAGCACCCAGCACAGCAGTTGAAGGCAAGGCCCCAAGGATATGAGAATACCGAGGGATATTAAATAGGCATGAAGAACAGACAGGTTCTACTCCTAGCTACGCACCCCCAATACAGTGCACAGGAGTTTACTGTGCTTCCTGGAGATGATGGCTCCAGGGAACCCTGGGTTTCAAACACGAGACTTCATCCATGAAGGTTCCCATCTGGCTGCTGCTTCGCAATTTAAACTGTAATTGTTTCAATATTGTGTTAGCTCCTTTGTGTAAAATAAAAGTCCTTAAGCATAGCCCTGGGTTAAAGTAATGTTGTGGATGCCCTGGTGTACTGCCAAATTAACGTGCCAGCTTTTCACCTTGGAAAACCTGAATGTAAATACTTTGGGCCAAGAAAGAAGAGACATCTGGCCATCTCAGGCAGCTCCTGCTGGACTGGGGGGCCTTCGCCCCACTCTCCAAGCCATTATTATTATTTTTTTGTATTCTAATAGTATCTAAATGCCCCAATTAAGGTGAGGCCCCAC